ATCCCGAGTATGCTTCACTTGTCCTTTAGGATTTTTTGGGCTTTAATGCCGGCGGGAGTCAGCCAACCTCGCCTTCTTGCCTTGCAAGACCTTCCTGTCTTTGTTCGCCGACCGGTGGATTCTTCGTAACACGTTGTCACCATCGCCGTAAGTAGGACTAGCTAAACTAAACGTCAACGGAAGCCGGCAGCTCTGGTAGCTGGGTTCTATTAAGTCTTTGTCAGCTTCTGTCTAGCTGCCCGACTGTTCCACACACACAAACATACCCATTTCGAGACAGTTGGGTAGAGGGAGCTACTGGGTTCCAACAGCAGAGATGTAAAGGCCCGGAAATTGGCCGAAATGAAGCCATGCCCCGGCGTCTGCTCTCTTGTCCAACATCTACGCCGATGTTTCAGACGAGATGAGAAACGTAGGGCAGTTGGCTCGCTGTGGAGACCTGTGACGAAAGTACCCAGCGTGTTGGACTGAAGGTCATCGTAGTTCGAGGAGCAAGGAGTACACATAAGGGTGACTGGGTGTCGCGGAAATACTTAATCGGTCGACGCGTTTCTGTTTAATGGAAGCAATCTGTTGCAATATCATGATTTCTCACTGGACCCTTCAGCTCGTGTATCTATACATATAGTATATCGCACAAATGTCTCTAACGTCCTGCCACAGGGATTAGATAGGTTTCAGGTACACTTGTGTTGAGATAAAGCTAAGAACAGAGCTATTTGGTTGTGTGTCCTCTACGTCCCTGTATGTAATAGAAATGAAAGTAGTACATTTTTCGGCGCAGATATATATTTCTTAATTGGTCTACCTTTAAAAATGGCTCGTTTACACGACACGGGGGTAATTTACTATTCGTCAAAGGAATATGGGAGGTAATAGCAGGTGGCAAGACACAATGCGACCCAGTGAAGAAGAAAAATGAAACAGAAATATTGAAAACGTTTCGCACTATCTACCATCATCGCCAGGTCATGGATGTTGCATGTGAAGCTAGTTGGCTATACCCTAGATGCTCGTTTTACGAATAGCTAGTCTACTATAGAATCGTCAGCCCAGCTCTCCAAAAGATGATTCAGGTACAGATGAGGTCGTCGCCACGTACAACAGGGGCCCATACAGTATAAGAGGGAGAGCGATGTGCGTCCACCTATAGGAGCTCAGTGGGGCGTAAGACCCTGAGGTAACACCGTCACCACCCGCTCGCAGCCTAACAAATCTACCTCCGAACCAAACCGAAGCTGCCAACACCTCGTATTCGCATACTGACATCACTATACATAGACAGCTATACTTCATACACCTGTTTGTCCTACAGCCACTGGAGAGTAGTCTGTCTAGAGCAGTCGAAGTAGCAGGCTGAGGTGGCAGGAGATTTCAATAGACGTGCTGCGGTAACGGACGACGTCAAATTACCAATGCACACGTAGCTAGGAGTATAAAACGCTGAATCGCTGAGTAGCATCTTCGTGCGACTATTTCATGACACTTTATGGTCTGGAAGATGCACAGGATGAAGATATCGTACGCATTTTTTTGGTTCGTTCCCAAGTTCCGCGGTGAAGGATAAAGCAAGAAATAAGGTAATTATCCTTTCAATATTCTATGTACATTTAAGATTTGGGCTTGTAACCGCAAGCGGACGACTTTGAGATAGATTCCAAAAAGCAATCTTGCTATCGTGTTATCATGAATGTGATATTGATGATAATCCGATTTACATTTCGGCAAAATTAAGATATACGTGAAGTGTAAGCAAAGAAAACCGGGAAAGTAATCTACTTTAAATGAAGATGAAAATAAGTAAGTTATTATATAGGGAAAATGGAGCTGGCTATATGGACCAAACGCTACCGTTAAAAACAACAGGTGCCACGAGAAAGAGGCAAGGTATTCTAGTATGCTCGCCAATGACTCTCCTACTGCGTGGTTTAAACGGGCTACTACGATTTACTCATTTTCGACAAAGCATCGATAAAAATCGCCTATATCTCCCATGCAGCTCACCTAGTCGGACGCTATGGGCCGCTAGTGATTTCATGTGTAAAGTTACTTTTCCAATAACATTGATAGTCAAGCCTGTGACTGTGTCTAGAAGGTACTTTATAATCATCTACTGCTAAGTTAGGCGGGTCAAAAGTTATAATTTATCTATCATAGTTACACATGGAGTTCTGCTGCGTAATTTGAAGTCGGGCTTTAAATAGCTCAAGTACTGACACATCGACAAGGTGCACTCTATCCAAGAAGCACCAAGGAACAGTATGTACGAACAGTTCTCCGAAGCCTCTGACAACACTGAATCACCTATAACTATCGTAGTTATGCATGGTTCTAGCATAAATAATGATCTATATTAAATTCTGATCCATAATCAGGATCATCCATAACATCGTGGATATACTGATAACACTTCTGAAAACGATTCAATATGCTAGTAAGTTGTCAAAATCTCTTTCAGAAGTAACTACGTGTAACAAGCACGATACGTAATAAAGTACGAGAATACAGGTTTTGATTTCAATTGATATATAAACACATATATGCATTTCTTCTTGGAATTACTCAATAAAATTTGCATCACGACCTTCGGTTTTCACACACAGCCCAACTTCAGCCCGATCCATTTAGCATTGAAGATCTAATTATTTTGCTGCTTTATCATTTAAAAAAAGTTCGACTAATGTATCTTGCCATATTGAGGTACGCTGTTTTGCCAGATGCATTTTAATTTCAACTAGTTGCCCCTGAACAACAGACTCATAAGTAGTTAAACCGATGAGACCTGGTAAAGCGGTTTTTGCAACTACGTTTTATCTTTTAGGACTACTTTTTTAAGCGAAAACCGAGACCCACTGACGTGATCGAAAGCTTGTGAAGAAGCGTATAGCGACAACGAACTATGCCTCACGCATGTGTACACGGTGAAGGCGGCCATATTGAGCATTCAATTTACGTATTTAAGCGATTAATATAGCCATTATACTGCCATTATAAGATTACGGACGCAATCGACAGTAAGCGTCATCACTGTCGTCAACACTTGCGAGTCTGTTTTGCATATATTTCATAATAATTAACTATTAGTTTATCTGCTTATTATATTTCCACCTCCATCGGAACCGTAACCCTATGCTTGTGGTCCACTATACCTACACACCCATGCACATTAAACAAAAATCCCAGGAATTCGTGTCCTTAGCGGTCCGAGATTAAATTTGACTGTTGGAACCATTGTCCTTCAGGTGTCTTGCGTGGTCGTCCTATTCACAATTGGTTCCGTAAGGTTCCTGGATAGTGAATCTCAGTAACGACAACTTTGCGAATAAAGTTCAAAATTAAAGAAATTCTTCTACGAGACAAAAAAAGACCATTCCAGCAGCCCTACTACCAAAGAAAAGAGTGGACAAAATTTTCTTGCAATGTTTTCGTCAAGTCCATTGCATCGAGGCTGTCACCATATTGTTAACATTCCGCATCTGACGACAGGCTAATAACTGACATACGTACAAATATACAGAGCCACGTTCATAGATACAAAAGGTATATATATCAGGTCAAGTCTAGTATGACGACTACGTTGTATACGAGAACCGGATACTAGAAGGAACAAATTGTGAGATATTATCTAGCCCGTTGTTTGGTTGGCTTACCTTTTATCCAATACCACCTTTGGCAAGTGAAGTTAGCAAAACAGGGCGGTAAGGGGCTTTTCTCTCGTTCGACTAACATTTCACCATTTGAAGTACGCGACATTCGCAAACAAGGGACAATGAACTTGAACCGAGCCCAATTCTTTACTTCAGAGTCTTCAGAAGGTAAACTCTTCAGACTAGTTGCGCTGGCGGCTTGCGAATTCACAAGGATGGTACTTGTTAGATAGGTGAAGGCGATCGAACGTCAGATAGAGGGCTATCGTGAAAACCGCCAACGACATCATGACACTATGTAGCGCGCTGGGCAACGCTGAACCCAAGGTATGTGATTCGATAATACACGAAACGGTCACTTCGGAGAAATTCATACTAGGCTACGTTCCAAGCATTCCTGGCTAGCTAGGACAGAAGCTAGGACTCGCATCCGTCCTAACTTCTACTCTTGTGTCCTTTTCTCGTTGAAGCCACAAAGTCCACGACTAAACCACTATAGTCAAGTTGTATGCTAGCCAAAGGCCTTCTACTATGGCCTGAACAAAACGACAACGTATAGCCTTGGAGCGAAAGTACAGACACAGTGAGCATTCAGCGAATCTAAAATGCACATGTTTTGTTATATCTGGCTAACTGTTTGGCTTTGCAAAATGCCTAGGTAACAATCGTTGGAGCCTGTCGTCGGGGCATGCTTTTTAGGAAAATCTTTTGCCACCTGATTCACGATACTAAGAACAATTGGTTCTAGACAACAAATTTCGTTCGATAGCTTAGGTAAGAGTTACGCTTATGCCAATTATGTATCTGTGTGCTATTTGTCCGTATATATGTGCATTTCTAGTTTCTTGTTGGAATCATTGGTGCGCCAAATGTTCTACTAACGACTATTGCTACTATTAAAGACTAAGGACTTAACTTCGCATACCATTTTGTCTATACGTCTATAGAAATTACTCATATGACAGCTTTATATTTAAGCTACAAAATTTATTGTACAAAGCCCATGTACCTTACGTTACTTCTCAGTCAGTAGCGTAGCCATCTTATTCTGTCGTACCGCCAACATGAGCTCACTGCTCGTTCATTTAGATCTCCTGGAACGCTTGATAGCTTCGTCCTACCTATTAAGTAGCATTGTCTTCACTGAACAACTATTTCAACCGAACTAAATCGGACGCTATTAGCCACTAAAGATATTATTTTAGCAGGGCAGACAGACGGACGTGCACATATGCACACCGGCGTGCAGGCGATATCTGATATTGTTGTGATTCCATGTGGCTCCATCTATGTTTGTTTGGTCGTATGGACGCGTCGATGTCGCGCGCATGCGCGTCTGTGACGACTACTCACCGAGTGTCTGTAGGTGAGTGAACGACAGCGATGGACACTCGCCCTGGACGTACGTAACGTCGCATTTGTACGTTCCGTCGTCGGTAACATGTAATGGCTGAATTCGTAAATGCGCCGTGCCATTACCTGTAATAAACAGATATCAGAAGCACCGCAGCACAATATAAACAAGTTCGTTAATTTAAGATGGTTTCACGGTTGAAGTAAGCAAACGGAACGATATATACGACTACAGTCGCATATAAGTCGCCAGTAAACCGAATTGGACTTGTTATGAGCGATCACCTTTTGACATTGTTGAAAACACTTATAAACCCCGCTCACTTGTCCATTTGACGATAAGCTTGATATAAGGCTATCTAAATTCATGATAAAATTCGTGTCGAAAGCATACGTAGGTCTATAGTGCTATTATGCAGGATCATATGTTACTAGTCTTGACTATCTACATCTGTATGAACAGTAATGTTAGTAGGTATTAATATGCAACAACAGAAACGGTAATAAGTTAATTAGGGGCACTGATTATTATCCGGTAACTGCAAATAATATTTGTTCCTCTTGCTTTATGCAAGTTCGATTACGGGACTCCCTCTTGTCATTGTCCGCGCACCTTTTTTCAGTGTTCCTTGTTATTGGCAACAGTTATGTTTGACCGTTAATAATAGCCCGGCCTTATCGATCTGATCGATGGATGATACTGATAGCTGTTGTAACCGTTGTTAGTATAGTCCAGTATCTCATTAATTGGAGCCCCGCTCTTTACTAACTAATCCGAATTCTCCTACTGAAATAACACATTGCCGGCTGGACATGTGAGTCTGCAGAGAACATACAAACATTTCATAAAAACGTACGTATGGCCATGATTACTTCTTGTTTGTTCTATTTGAATTAGACAGTGAATTAAATGATCCACAAAGACAGGCGGTAGATTGAAACGGAGCGCAATCAGTTCCGTTTACGGCTATTTGTTACATGTATTGTCAACTAAAACGATGCATCCATTTATAGTTTAATGATGATTTTCATAAATTTGCTAAAAGGCTAGTTTGACATTGGTATGGCAAGTTACGTATGTACGTACACAGGAGGACATTTTGGTTTCATATGTTGTAGTGCTAAAATTCACTCTAATATATAAGAATTTTGTTCACATAGAATTTCAACCCACTTTTCTACTGTACCCAGAAATTCAGAAACGGTTCGACCTTGATTTGAAATGAGCTATTCTTTCGAAACGTGTTTTCCCGTCGTTCCGTTTCGCATCGAAAGGCAGTCGCTAAAATTAACTTAGTATGATCTGTTCCAGTATTTGGCCCTTGTTTCTGTCGACAGAGTCTCTGTACTTATTAAGCTGTCGTTATTACGTTAGCTGTAGTTAGAGCTAAATCTGCCATTCCTCTCTTTGAGATCAGTGGCAAAAAGACTTCGAGTGACTTCAGAAACGCATATATAAACCACTAGAGCCAATCGATATTTTGCGTATATCTGTGAACTAAGAAACCGTGTTTATACGTAGGACACTTACTGGCGGGGCGACGTTGAGGTTTGTGTTCATTCTCTTAATAAGTATAGCAGTCAGCATTCAACCAAAGCAGACTTAGTTTGTCCACATTTAACCCGCCCTGTCTGCGTCATATATCCGCGTACCCAACCGCGTCGCTTGCCAGCCTCGATTACTCCTACTCTGTTCTGTTTATATGTTAACGAGGTTATGCTAATACGGCATAGGCGAAGCTCGTTGTTGTACTTGACCCTGCTTGTGCATACCCTTAAATCGGGCCCTCGGCCTGAAGCGCCTCTGGGCCCTCTTTTACACAGCTTCTCTACTCTGTTGAGATCACGAGGTGGGGTGTGGCTAAGAACGCGAGATAACTAAACTACTACACCTTCGCGAAGAAGGCATCCAACCCCCGATTCGACGAGTCCTAGCAGCCGGACAGTCAGCGGTTGCAGCCATAAAGCTCAAATGCTCGAGATCTTTGTATAATGGAAACGGCTAATTTTTCGCTCATTGTGCCTACTCAAACTCCACTGATGGAACCACGTTTTAACCGAAAGCTGAACGGAATTGCATTGCAACTCGCCTGTACTCATAAATCAGCTTTGAAGTACAAGGACGCAGGGCGGTGAAACCTGCTGGGCAACGATATTTCTAATTGACCACTCACAGCGCTCAGCCCCATGCGACGATGCCTCGTACAACTACGTTAGAGCTAGGACATAAGAGGTCTGAATAAGCATCTTCAAGGCCACGGAAAAACTACTCTTGAAGAAAGACGTTCCTGGTAAGAAATGCCTGTGTGGCAAAGAGGTTTGGGGAGTAATGTATGTACGTATGTATGTATGTTGTGTTTCAATACCGGGAGCATGCTGTACCACACTACCGTTGTGGATCGCCCCACCAACTATAATAGCCACCCTAGAAACGTTGGCTATCCCTGTTCCTGTATCCCTGCGTGAAGCCATCTGAGAGCGGAAATGAAGCACTTTACCTTCCTTCATTTTTCCTCTTCAGGCCTCACACTAAATAGATGAGCAAATGGCAGCAAACGCTTAAAAGGGTACCTAGAAGTTTACTCGCGTTCATTGGGCCATCGCGTGCCAGCAGGCACTACAAGCGCAATAAGAAGACCAAGCGAGTAAGTTCTACAATGCCACGTTCTATCCCGTTTCATTATACCCTCTTCTACTTTCCCCCCCTCACACACACACACACACACACACACACACCACAGCACACGACGCCGGCGTCAAACGCGGCTGTGTGCCCTGCCTGCAATCTGCTGCTATGCTACGGCCACAGCAGCAGCAGCATTTCCGACTGGTGGTAACGGTGGCAGTGCGACCAGTCATAGCTCTAATCTAAACGTAAAGTACGATAGCGCATAGTATACGCCTATAAACGTATGCCTGTCTTCTGTCTGCGTACGAGTGTATGTATCGTAGTACTGAATTTGAACAGAAGTCTGCGTTCATGCCGTAAGCAATCAACAGCGTACGGCCCTTATACGCTATCTGGCTGACTTCATTTGTCTGCCGCTGCTGGCGATCATGACATTGTCACTCGCGGCTAGTTAAAGCCGACCGCCTACGTTCGTTTTGCCTTAGTTAGTCGCCTTATCGAGGTGGAACTATCCGAACTGGGATGCCGTGGGCGATTATTGAGAATAGGCCTGCTTATTTTGCCGAGTAAGTGGAAAAAGGAAAACTATATACTATAATACTGAACATGAAACTTGGCTGAAGGAGTAGCCAAACTTTGTTAGCATTCAATCTCGGGCTACGTCTGCTGAGTTGAGTTCATTCAGCTACTTTGAGTTTATTGCATCCACGCGAGCCTGAATGACTCTTGTTTTTTGAGTACAACGTTGTTTTCAATACAGTCTTCCAGGGCTTTTTCCGGGAATTCAGGGTGGAGATGATAGCGAACAGCAATATCCTACATATCATTCGGTAGATTTACATTTGAGTATTATTTATAGGTAATTTTTTTTCTCATATAGCGAAATTCTGCTGTGTATAGCAGACTACTGATACCTGCCAACTGTCGCTTTAACGATAAGGTCAGCACCGCACCACAACGTAGATCTATTACACTTGTGGCTTACTGTCCTATTGTTAGATGAGCATCTTCATATATATAACCCACGTAAAGGTTGTCCAGCGCATCCATCACCATACTAAAAACAATCGTTCAGAGAAGTCGCACAAAAACATCGAGCAACACTAAAACCGTTTTTGCCTTCGTACTTGCAGCCGTTCACCCGATGGATCCTTATGGGCACCACCTTTTTTCTACAAAATAAGCCAGCTAAAAAGGCGAAATGTCAAACAGCGGCTGCTCCAGCTCTCCTTCATCATTCGGAACCAAGCGACAATAAATCACAATGAGTCCAAAAGCCTTATTCGACCTACCGAACCGAAAGGCCCTCCCCGTTAACTGTAAACTTCTACGAAACAAAGAAAAATTCGCGGGGAACGCGATGTAGCAGGATCAGTGCAGTGGCATTAGGTACCTATGATAGTACCGTGTTTCAGCAGAGCCGACATACTGGTTCAAGCTTGCCCTGCACTTGTTGCTTGCGACACCGCCAGCGATTTCCGCAAAGCGAAATCCACGGACAAGGAATTGATATCGGGACAACGGTTGGAGACAGCGAACGTGTTCTACAGGATAGCGACGGGACGACAAAGGTCTACACGCTAAAGGAACAGAGCACCGAACGAAAAGCGTTACTCCTGCTATCGAAGTAAGATTGTTTTACTTGATGTTTTCATTTTATTACCCCTGCCAAAGGCTGCTCCATCTGTCGATCTTAGGTAACAGGAAAACACGAAGAAGTGGTATAGGGAAACAGAGAGCAGCCAAGATAAAACACTCGATGCAAACGCAGACAGCAACACCGCTTCTATTGGATGTTTGAGGCCATTGTTGCAACCACACAGGCCACGACTTGTGCTCTTACCATAGGTCGCCCACAGGCAGATTTACGAAAGCAGGTAACGACTAGATTCGTTTGGTACATCACGAGCTCCTTGTGGTTGCAGTAAGCCTTCGAAACGACGTATACAGCGGAACAGCACAGTTGACCTACAGAATCACTATCTTTGCCTAATAGCGAACATTAACATAACGAAAGGACTTAACATGGGTCATAGAAGGAGTATATGTCGCTCCTTTACCGTTCCTAGTTCTTCTGCAATTATATATACATATATATAATTTTTTTTTTTTAGCGACGTAGGACCTAATGTAGCAGAAAACCATTACGAAATTGGCAATCGCTTTCTAAGTTGGGAAAAACGCGTTGACTAAGCTGAAGCGACCTGTTGCTGCCGCTGTTCCCTGCTGGTTCGTTTCTGGCTCTGATAATCAGAAATTTCGAGTATGTATATATATA